CCCTCACAGCTGAAAGGAGCGAGCATGTTCAGTAACTGGATTCAAACCCGTAACCCACAAATTGCGAGCCGAGGACCTTAACCATCAGGCCATGAAATAGTTCGTTTTCTGTGTAAAAATACATTTCGCACCACAGCAGTAATTAGTACGACTGTTTTCAATGTTGTTGATATTACTGTTTACGTTGTTTTTTTTTAAATGCAAAGCTATATAATGGGCTAACTGCACTCTGTCCACCGCTTTGACCTACCAGGAACTATTTTTTTATGTAACTCGTGCGTTTTAGGGAGACTATAACCAACAAAGTCGTAGGCCCATAAGCAATTTGGCGCATAAATAGTTCAGAAAATTGCCAGACCCCATCAGTAGTTGTTAGGGGTATAAGTAAACAGGACCAGGCATAAGTATATTTAAAACATTTTCCAGGATACTGTTGCTGATAAAACTTTAAAATAGTACATTGTGGAACAACATTTTTTTTTGTTTTATTTATATTATAACGTAAAATTTCAGATACGTGACATAATTGGTTAAAATTAAACTTTTTATTGAATGATTTACTAAAACAAGAAACCTTAAATATCCCCATCGATATTGTTTTACGTGTGATAGTAGCTTATTTTATGTGAGAGTAATTTTTATTCGTGAAGGAGAATAGTCAACTGTTTGCAAGACTCGAGTTTCTGGGTCTTTTGAAATGTACTAAATACGTTACAAATGCTAATAAAATAAAATAAAAATCCATCACATCATTTTTGCGAATGAAAACATGATCCAAGAAAATGTATATGCTGCTATTTTATTGAAACTGTTACAGTAATTCATATTTTAAAAGATATTCTAAATATATTTGAAAGATATACTGTGTACGTGTTTGTGCTTTCTATCTAGTACACACTTTCTGGATTCTATTGTCCAACTTACCTCTGACATATATGTGAAGTATAGACGTGTTTTATTTATTTATTTAAAGCTCGTCAGCATAGTGATTTCCCTGCAGTGTTTCTCATTATCACTGCATACGTAGACAATTACAGCCATTTTATTCGTTACCGTGACAACTCAACTGAGAATCTTTCCCCTGGTTTTGTTTGCACGTGGCTCATAAAAGAATTGCCAGATATCTTTACTTCACCCTACAAATGGCATGGATGATTAAATTGCACGCTTCTCTTTTTATGGCTTTCCAAACCTACGCTTTTAATTTGAATATTCTCTAAAGAGCTATCGAACCAGGGTTAAACTTGGTAAAATAAAAAATAAAAAATTTGCTCAGATTCATTGATGCTTAATAAAGTGGTACAATGGCTGCGTATGTTATTTTGCTCATTAACGACGCGTTTTTTCTATAAAAAGAAAATACTCGTTATAGGTGACATTGATTTTCTAAGAGTTACCTTCGTGAAAAAATACAAAACCTTATTAAAGATAATCGTGCTTTCGTCGTTGCTTCTAAAAAAAACTTCTTAATTGAGTGAAATAGTATATTTCCAAAACTATTATTTCATATGATTGTGTGCAATTGGAATCATGGCACACTCAAGATACGCTAAGTAAGGTTTTACAGAAATGGTTGAATGAAAGTTGAAGTACTACTTAAAGTACTACAAATCTTGACAGCTAAGGCGACTTGGCAACGTTAACTGCTGTGTGCTTCATTCGAGTCCTTTCATCGTTCTCTTTGCTTTATAATCTCGTATCTTAGTTACCACTTGTGCCTATAGAAAACCTTAAAGGTTTACAGGAAAAAACACATGATTTTTTATATTTCACGTTTTTTATTTCTTTTATGTAATTATTTACTTATTATACTTTTTGCTGAACAGATTAAAAGCAAAAAAAAAAGACATGAGGTAGGGATTTAAAAAATGTTTGATAACGATATTTTTCGTATATAAACGCTTTCTAATATCATAGGTAGTAGAAGTTTGAACTGTCATCCAGTATTAAAAACACATTATGATTTAAGATCACATAATGTAGACTCGACTTCCATGCGAATATGTTCTGTGAACCGTATGTTGCCTGGACATAATAGGTTGCCAAATGTGATCATACCTTTCAGAAGATATTCAAATATTCCTAAAACAGTAAAATTATAGTTGATAGTATTATTGTTAATTTAAAAAAGTACGTAGCTGTAAAACAAATTACTCATCCCGACCTTGGTTGGTTATGTAAGTCACTGCTACCACACGCCCCCTCCCTTTCCATTCTCGTTTTTCCCCCTTCTCTCTCTGCTGGGGCGGGACATTCTGGGGACCTGCACGACAACAGGGGACAGAAAACCATTAACTGGTCTTGCTGAAACGGCGGGAACAGCGGCAGTAAGCAGAATGGCCTGTCTCTCACAGCAGCCTTAGAGGAGCGAATTACCGGAACTACTTTCTTTTACTTGTCCCGTCCCCACGAAGTCAAAAGAAAGGGCAAGAAGCAATCGTTTGGATTGCGTCACAATGGAAGGAAAACCAAAGCCAGCTGCAAAACCTTTCAGAATTGAAAGACCTTTTTTTTCCCTCGTAGGGATACTTGTGGAAAAAAACTGTAAATATAGAACTGTAGTGCCATACTTGTGCATAATACATCTGAAATTATATTGTGAAATGATATTCATATATTTATATTTAATGTGTATGTGTAATTGATATATATGTAGATTTCTTAAAAGTCTGTGTTATTTAATTTTCTTTATTTTTATACACCGTTTTCTTCTCATACCATAGTTTGTTTTGTTATGATTAATATTTTTCTTCCATTTATATATACGCTAACTTATCAAAATAAATACTATCTTCTGTGAGTTAAACAATTCATGTCATAGACCAGTCGTGAATAACGAAACGTATATTATGTTGTTGCTGTTTAGGAAAAAGTAAATGTTTCAAATCACGCAGACGCTGTTGTAACTAAAAGTTAAAGCTGAAAGGAGTGATTTTTCTGTTAATGGATACCGCAAAGTGAATAGGAAGTCGCGATTTTAAGTGAAATTTGATCACTTCTCTCTTCTTTTTTTTTTTTTCTTCTTTTTTTTGAAAATATTAACATTACATAACGTTTTGGAACAACACGGGGGGACCTTTCATTTTAACGAAAATCGAAGCCTAGTATATTTTATTTGTAATTGGATAAGCAAGATAATAAAAGTAAAAAAAAAAAAAACAGCAAACTATTAATAATTTCCTATATCCTGACCTAGGTTTTGCAATGATCCAATTATAACTTATTTATAAAATCAGTTAAAAGAAAAATAAGTATGCAGCATGTTACAGTTATCCTTTTGTTCTTGTTGATGTTGTTTATAATTGGTAGATGATTTCTACGTAACGAATGACTAAAATGAAAATGAACAAAAGTCTTAAAACTGACAACTTGCCAAAGAATGAAAAGTTATGTATATCTGTATTCTAGACTGTAGAACAGAAATATTTGGTGTGTTCTTCCAAAAAAAAACTGTCTTGAAGTATAATCCCACATAACTTGTACGGAATATTCGTGAATGAAATGGTTAGTTTATAAATCCTTGATAAAGAATGATGTTGTTTAGTGTAATTGTTCTGACATGTAAGTTTGTCGTTTGAATATGAACGTGATTCATCTTGTATAGTCTACATACGTAACTTTCTTGCTATAGTACTCTGTAATCCTATTACTGTGGGTTGTTTTTTTTCTTTTTAAAGAAAGATTGGAAAAGTTATTTTTCGCAGTTGTTATAATAGTATTTTTATTTTACATATTTACAACATGATTTAAAAAAAACTACAGGTTATAAGACAACATTCAAATAATTAACAGTGGCTTTAATCTTTTAGTCATATCAATTATGCACATGTTGTTAAGCTTACGTTTTCCATAAAACTTGTAAAGTGAGCGTGTGTGAGAGAGCGTGCACACACAAGTATAATTGCAACAGCTTCCTGTTTCTGTGAATTAATTATTAGTCAATTAATTTTCAACTTGATGCGAAGCCTTAGTGATAAATTCTGTTTCCAGCAAAATTGGCTAAATAAGTTTTTATATCTTTAAATTTCTCTGTAAAATTTCAAAGTATCATTTCATAGAATCGGTCATAAATATGGAGAAGTTTGTTTCGGTATTTAGGCAAAGCTCTACAAGAGCTGATAAACTAGAGGGAAGCAGCTAAGTCGACAACATCCATCTTGAGCTACTCTAATCAAACGGTGTGAATTTACACTCTCTCTTATAATGAATGTATGGTCAAGTTTTTGCGGCAACAGGTCGCAAACCATAAATCATCGCACCAACATCCCGGGCACGCTAAATTCAGACCAACATCCACTTGACATTTTTAAAGTGGTTTTTTTAAAGAGAGAAAAAGTAAACACGCAGTTGTAAAATCGATATGTTGGAAGGGGATAAAAATGAGTTTCACTAATACATATATATATACACACACAAGCTGAAATACCCGTCAACTGACGCGGAATGTTTAAAACCTAATTAAAAGGATGTAAGTGTAACAGCAATTATATATTTAAAAGTAATAACTTGAACATGTTTTTTATTTAAAATTTTAAAATTATAACAAAGCTTCTTCATAAACAACATTTGTAGTTTTCTTTCCATTTACCAACTAATAAAGATTTTGTGGTGATTCCACCCTTGAACACCTACATCTCATTGACCATGAAAAAAAGCATGGTTGTTTGAGAAACAATCCAGCGACTTTCATACTTTGACCTTGAATCTCTTTAGAATATTCAACATTGTCTAAAGCGTCAACCTTTTTAATGTTGTTAGAGATGACTCAATAGGCTGTGAGTAATTAACCAACAGGCTTTACAAAAGAAATAGGGTTAAGTTTAATTTTGACCCCCTTAGGACATTCCCCATAGTTCATAGTGTTTACATGCAAATTTTGGTTAAGATTGGCCTAATAGGCTTGGAGGAGTTAGGGTGCAAACAAACACACATTTTATCTTTACATATATAGAATTGTGTGTGTGTATATATATATATCTTTTTTTTCTTTCTTTTTCCAGGAATGGTAAAAGACTTTTCATCAGAGCCCCAGCCATTGACAGTGACAGAAGGAGGAGTTGCCCAGTTTTTGTGCCAAATTAGCACTGTTCCCTCTGCAGTAATTATCTGGCAACGAGATGGCCAGGATCTACCTCAAAATAACAGCAGGTTTGTCAACAACTAAACATGGTTACAGTTTGTATGAATTGCATGTTTTGTCACTAAAGTTGTTTTTATTTCAATAATTGGAATATGGTGATTTAACATCGAATACAATTAGTAAGTTTTTATATGCACCTATTTTAGTATATAATTTTTAGCTGATTCTTTTATTACTTTAATATATATTTTTTTACATTGGACATTAAAATTGACAAATGTACATGCAGTTAGTAAACTATTACAGTTTCTTCATGATCCTGCCCCCCCCCCCCTGGTGGTACAGCTGTATATCTGTGGACATACAACACTATAAACTGGGTTTCAATATCCGTGGTGGGCAGAGCACAGATAAACCGTTGTGTACCTTTGTGCTTAATTACAAAAAAAAAAACTTCAATATTAAAATTTTGATTTTAAGAATACATTATAAAAGAAGTATTTTTATGCATTTTGGTTTTATTAATCACAAGAAACTATTTTTGATATGCTCTTAATTAATGTCTTATGTGTGTTAATATCTTAATATTGATATTTAGTAAGCAAATTGTAATTTTATGTGTTTAGTTGGAATTTGAGTTTTGTCATTGTATTTATATGTAATAATTTTTTATTGTACAATAAATAAATCATCATTTGATAGTATTAATCTCTTTTTTTCTTTTCTTTGGCCTACAACTTGTAAGATATTAAATACATATCATGATGTCTTTGCTATTTTAAAAATTACAAATAAAGTTTTAAAACTTCCAAGCTACTCATTCTTATAATGTTAAAAAAAGCATTAAAAACAGTGTTCTATCTTTCTTATATACATTATATCTGCCATTTGAATTGGTACTAAACTTCACTAGAAGTATATTTTAGAAAGATATTGAATAAGATGTTTTTTGCACTTAGACTTCTGTCTCTTTTTATGAAATTTTTTCAGGTATACACTGCTAAGCTCAGGTATCCTACAGATTACTAACGTTTCCAGTGTTGACCAAGGACGGTATCGCTGTATTGCTAGTAATCCAGCACGTACAAGGCCAAGCAGCTATGCTACGTTAACAGTTAAATCAAGTTGGTGCTTCTTTTTTTGATAATTTGTACAAAACTTGTCATTAAAGTTGGCTGATTTAAATGTATTGTTAGTTTACATGAAAAAGATGTTGTTATATGAATTGCAAACAAACATAGCAATGAAATAGTGATATGAGGAATTTAGAACAGATTGAAACAAAACAATTGTTTAACCCTAGAACTAACAATGGACTCCACCTCCACCCCATTAGCTTTTTTTTAAAAACATTTTGCTTAATAATCTATAAATGAAGTTGCTTGTGGGTTCACAACTTTGTTTGCTGCAGGATTTCGAGTCGAGTTGCACACGCAAAATGTAAATACAAATACCACCATAAAATTAGAGAAAACAGGTTTTACTCATCTACAACCCCCTGATCAAGTTTAAATGGTGAAATATAGGATGAAATAAAAATAAAAAGTCCTTTTTAAATTATCTGGAGAGTAAAAGTGTTTTTTTCAAACTTTATTGTCAGAAATGTTTAAATCCCTCCAGTATACAGTGCAAAGTCTGATAAATACCATCAATTGAATATATTTTCAGTTATGTATTTTATATAGAAAATGAATGATTTCACTCAGTGCTTTGGTCATTTAGTTCTTTACACTGAGTGTTGCAATCAACAGAAATATGAAGTTACTTGGTATGATGCAATGTGTAGCCAGTAGGCATTGAACAGTATATAAATATCTGGTTACCATAAATATTAAATAGTATATAAGTATGTGATCACCATAGGTATTGAACAGCATATGAACAAGCTGGTAATTGAAATGGTTAGCATTAAATTTTTCAAACCTGTTCTTACCATTTTTGTATTTCACCATGAATTTCAGTTATTTATTTGTAGGAATAATGGTTTTATTTGCTTTTCTAATATAAAGCCTCATCTAAGTAATATAGAAGCTTAAATCCAAATATACAGTAAATAACAGTGAATTTGATGAAGCACGAAACATAGAAATTAAAGTCAAATAAAACTTCATAATAAGAATGCAACTAGTGTTCACACATCTACTAATAATTAGATATTGATAACAAATGATAGTAAACTTTTTTCACTGCACTATAGCACTACTAACTCAGGTTTGAATTTTGTGTCATCGTGAAGAAAGAGTATTCCCCTTCAATCTTCCCAAAGTTTAGTAGTATGAACTCTATGATAAGTAATGGAACATTAAAACATGTCTTTTGTTTTTTATTGTGTTTGTAGAAATAAGATGGGAAGGTTGTTGGTATGTAAATGTGGCAGTGAAAGAGCTAAGGAAGCTCAAGAGGGAATCCTAAGTCTTGTCTGGTTTTCTTTATCCAGTCCAAGATATGAAAAATAGCACATTAAACTCAATAAGTAATGTACCGATATACTCATTTTTAGTTGCTTAAATTAGCCAATAGAAAACTTTCTTACTCGATTACCAAGCCTAATACACATTTCAGAAACAGATTAATCTACTTTATATTGCTGGATAATGATCACTTGTATATTCATATAGAATTAAATGTTTAAGTGCTACCAGAAGCAAATATATTCACTGAAAGATGCTTTCACACATAAGCTTATTTTTTGCTGGGTCATTTTTTAATTTTATTTATACCTTATTGACATTCAAATCTACTCATCCTATTGGTCTCTCTTTAGGGTTTTGTTTTTATTTTTTAATTAAAGCAAAGTCATGTTTCAACCAAAATCTTAAATTAATCATTTTCCTATCTGCTCAGTTTCCAGAAAGTTGTATTTGATTATTGCTAATCCATTTTGCTGAGTCCTAAGCAAATATTCAGTTAAAAAATATTAATAAATCATTTTTAACTTGAGTCTTCACCTTGCCACTGATCAGTTTTATATTTATTACTAAACATATGAGATATTTTATTGTATTGAAAGTTATTGTATCTACCAGTAATTGTGAAATTACTGTAAAGTTAGCCGAGTATAAAATTAAGTAGCTATTAAAAACTTTTGTTCATTTCAGCATTACTTGATGGCTGATGACCAAATTGTAGGATTCAAATGTAAAAAAGAGAGAAAAAAAAGTAATTAAACCAAATGCCTTTATCTAATCAACAGTTTGAAGCAATCATATGTGTGTTCTGTTTAATATTCCTGAGATTTTTTTGCAATTTTACTGTGATAAAAGGGAATATTTGTTGATAGAGAAAATCTCTTAGTTTGGTATAATTTCTTTAAAGCATTAGTGATTCAGTTTCTACAAGTTATTTATCCCCTAACATAAACATTCATGTAAGTGATATCACTGTTTACTGCTCGATTTAGGCCCACAAAAGTCACATCCAATCCAGTTTCTTAGTTCCTCCCAGTCATTGGTGAAGGTTGCCAATGAAACTGCAGTCCTGGAATGCCTGGTGACGGGTTCGCCAATGCCAGTGGTTTCCTGGAAGAGAGCAGGTTTTTTTATTTTTAATATTTTCTATGAAATATGGTTTTATATTAATGCATTATAAGTTTATAAATATAGACCTTCAAATATTTTCTTCAAAAGTGCTACAGATATAAAAAAATTTTTAAAGGCATTACTTACAACTGTTATTTTTAGAAAAAACAACAACTTTATTTATTTCCTTTTGTTTTAATACACACTCATCAGAATAGAAGTACTGACAGCGTTAAGCATATTACTGTCTTACAGAAGAAATATAAGTATTACCAGAATAGAATGCATATCAGTTAAATACAAAGTTTTGGATTAATTATTAGACATTAGTAAAAAGAAAAAACAACATTTTTTAGAACATAATGTGTGTGTGTGTGTCTACTAATTAACAGCCTAGTTTATCATTCTATTATTATTATTACTATTAGAATCATTGTGAAAGATGTTCATCCTAGTATTTTTCACTTGAAAATAGATAAGTTCTGTTTTTCTCAGGTGGCCAAAAACTTCCCAGTGAACGGATAACACTACTTGGACAAGGCAATCTTGTAATTCGTTTTGTCACTACTGAAGATGCTGGGACTTACTTGTGCATAGCAACTGTGAAAGATGTTAAAAGTGGGAATATTGAAACAGCACAACAGAGCTCAACTTTAACTGTTCATGGTAAATTTAGTTTTTGTTCAAATATACAGAGCGAGACAAAAATATTAGCCCAGAATATAAGTAATAAATTAGAAGTTTCTTTCATATTTCCTTACATCAATGCATTAAAAACAAATAATTAGAACGTGGATTTAGCTAACTGTAGGGGGCAACTAACCTTTGTTTCACACTTGTGTATTGGTAATTTAGGCCAGAACCAGGTGATTGTGAAGTTTCAATGATTCTTCAGTATTCATACCCATGAAAATCTTGTTAGCATTTTGTCTTGTATTAAACTACGATTAAGTTACAGCAGTTAAGCTCATATTAATAAAAATAGCTTCATTACCCACTTGAGAATTATATTGTAGATGTAGGTTTGATCAAACTATAGATTGGGATTTAATGATATTTGCTTATTTGCTGATGATGGCTTTGTTTATTCTTAGTTCCACCAAAATTTATGAAAGTTCCTGTAAGCATGGTGAAATATACTCCACAAACTGCTCGTTTTCTGTGTGTTGTGAATGGAATTCCACCTCCATCTGTGCAGTGGCTGAAAAATGGAAAGCCTATGTACTTAAATGGACGTATTAAGTTTAAAACAGATGGAGAATTGGTTATTACCCAAACAGTGATGTCAGATTCAGGAATCTACCAGTGTGTAGCACGTAATGAAGCTGGTACAGCATCAGTGACTGCACGACTTCAAGTGAAAAGCACAGGTTTGTTTGTTTTTCAGATACTTTTCAGACTTATAACTCTTTGTGAATGAAATTCTTGCATCTCATGTTGATGGGGCACTTTATATCAAGTACATCTTTTTAAGTTCAGTTAAATTACTCTTCTTATTAAATAAGCAACCAGAAAGATAAAATGAAAACTAGATAGATATTAAAATAAGTATTTTAAAATCGTATATTAGTTTTATTCATTTATATTTCATAGAAACTAGTTTACTTGTTGCTTAATCTTTATTTTATAATGCTAAAAACTGGGTTTCGATACCTGTGGTGGGCACAGCACAGATAGTCTGTTGTGTAGCTTTGTGCTTAACAATAAACAAACAAGCAAATAACCTTAATTACTATTATTATGTTATGTGGCCTAGCGGCAAGTGTACCATGCTGTTGATGATAGGATCCACCATTTGAGGATTTTATAAAAGTAATAATTGGCAGAGCCAGCCTTAGGGGGAAGTAAGCTAGACACTCACTTTAGACCCTGTGCTTGAAGTTTTAAATTTAATAAAATATTCTGAGCTATGTGCCATGACTAATTTAAGAGAATACAATATGATTATATGAGCTTAAGTTGATATGATAATGTTGATAAGTGCATGGTAATCTAATAGAAAAAATAAAAGTGGGCTGGTGCCTTTTCAGTCAGCTAGCCTCGTGTGGTGATGTCATAATATTGTGTTTTTGAACAATTGTATCTGACTTATAGGACAGGGCCCATGAGCTACTATGCCTTTTGGCCTCACAAACTCAAAGGCTGGCTCTGAAACTCAGTCCAGTTGTTAGGCTTGAAGAAGCAGACCAATCCCAGAGAGTGCTGCTGAGAGGCTGCCTTCTCTTTGATCATTAGTTCGAAATTAAGGATGACTGTGATTGGATGCTAAGGGTCTCTGACCTGGTCCTTTAGCCCATGTTGCATATAACATACCATTCAGGTTGAAAATTACTCTCAAGTTTCATTTCAATTTAGCACAAGCTTTGCACAATTTAAATAGTCATTTGTATTCAAAGTTTGATAATTTTTTCCATAGTTTCAAAATTAACTCTGAGTAAATTAATATTTGCAAAAAAAAATGGTTTTTAAACTAGAAAAATTATGTATGTTAGCAAGTCACTGTTTTTTTTTTTAAATAAAAAAAGATATAATGCATTCAAACAAGTTTCTGAACGTTTTCAACTAAAACATTTTAATTGTTTCATTGTTAGTAGTCTACATGTCCCTTCTTTATTTCAACACTTGATTATTTTAAATGTTTATTTCATAAAAGGTTTTAAATGATGAAATAATCACGTAAATTGATAGTTATCACAGATTAACATGAGATACTTAATAACAAGTTTTTTTTTTGTTTTTCTTTGCAGTAAAAGGTTGAAAATAAAATTAGACTTTTTATAAAGAAAGTTCTCGAAATATCCAGAAACTTTGGAAATTTTAGAGTTTCTTAACTCTTTTAAAATAAAAAAAAGCCCATAACTTTACATTTAATAAATCATATTTATGGAGATAAATATTATATTCAAGAACTCATTAATTAGAAATCTGTCTGTCATTATTGTAGACTTCTGTAGACTCAAAATATCAACTGTGTAGTACGTTTGTTATAATAAGTTAACATGGTGTTGTGTTATTAGTTTGGATGTAAATTGTCACAATGATTAGACATGCTCTTTCTTAAGAATGCATGTTTGAATATTAGGTGTTCAGCCAGATGTTCCATATGGCCTGAAGGCTCAAACATTATCAAGCTCTTCAGTTTTGCTCACATGGAAACCTCCTACAGTTAATAGCAAGAACATCAAAGCCTATACTGTTCACTTTGCCCCAGTATCAGGTACAAATATTTGTCATATGTGTTATTAATTATAATAATAATAATAATCAATATTTTCAGATAGTTTTAAATATTGAAAGGTGATTTATGAATTTTGGTGATACATCTACTTACTTTAAATCTTTTATCTTGTTGTCCAAATGTTCAGTTTCCTTAATATGAAAAGAAAATGATTGGACATAGTGTTAAGTCCTGACTAGGCAGTAGTTTTTAATATGATTAAGTGTATTGATCATACATTCATAACAATAGATTTAAATTTGGGACTCTCTTTAATGACAGGCCATTACTTTGATGACAAGATATGGTCAGGATATGCGAGATTTTAAAAAAGTATGTTAGAATGATGGACAGTAGAACAGAAATGTTGCAATTTCAAACTCCAGAATTAATTTTGTTAATTAAATGACATTTATACTTTACAACTCTTAAAAAATCAAAATCAATGCAAATCAGAGCAACAGGTCAACGTACTTGTAAATTAGTTTTCCAATGGCTCGGCAATAAGCTCAAATGCTTACAGTGCTAAAATTTGGGTTGGATCCCTGCAGTAGCACAGTACAGATAGCCATTATGAACACAAATTTGTATAAAGTACTACTTTGTACTTGGGCATCTCTTAGTTTAAGTGAGATTTGAAATAAGAAATATTCTCAATACATAAAATTCTGTTATGTGCCTATTATAAAGATATCTAATTTACTAGTATGAAAGGTACCTTTTATTCCCAACAACATTAAAGGCTGGTAAATGTACCCTTCAATCACTTGTTAAATACTCTACATCTTAAGTGGTGCTCATTGTTGGACATTGCATTATTTTTTGACTTAAACAAAATTGTAATTTGAAACTTTCAAGAAAACTGAATGAAAGGAATGGTAAGACTTGAAAGGAAATAATCAAATGAAATATAGTTTGAAAGAACTTGACGAAAAAAAAAGAACTCATCAAAGGAGTGAATACTAAGTAAGACAAACAATAAACAGATATTTTCAATTACTCACAGCAAATTTACTCTACTAAAGCCTGATCACAGAAGACTTGCTAAAAACTCAAAGTTTTAATAGACCACTGCTAATTCATAAATGACTGACTAACATTTCATATATCTTGAGACCAAGAAGATAAAGAAAACTTTGTTTTCTCTTTTTTTTGTTAGTGTGTGTTAATTTAAGACTACCTCATCACATTCTGATTGATCAATAGAGCTTAATGCACCTTTCACAGCTTTAAACAAAGAAAACATTTTTTCAACTCCATAATGTGCTATATCCACAAATTGGTGTAAGTTAATTAAATAGTCATGATTCATATAAGAAGTAAGAAAGTTCCACCAAAAATAAAATATTGGGACCATAACTTGAAACATAATTTAAAATAGATGTGAACACTCACAAAATTACATTCACGTTTATCCAAGGCATGTCTGGATGTCTGACAAGATGTCAATTTCCTGTAAGTTAGTCATTCTGACACTCCATACGTGTGTTACTTCAAGAACTCTGACCTTCTTTGACAAAAATGTACACTCTTAAAAAAAAAGTCATATATCAGCATCATTTGCAAATATTCTTATTATCTCCAATGTAAGATGTATTGTTTTAAGGCCTTATATCCTGAAATTAACCACTTGCTCATTCACTCATGTGATAAATCATTTGTAGCATCAATTAGCATAGTAATGTTTGAGCCTTTTCTTCCAGCAAATAAATGGAAGAATAACTGCTTCTTTCAGGAAAAATCACTTAGCCATTAATACAGTTTGAACCATGGTTTCTCTTCCAGCAAACAAGTCACACATGTACGAACCATGGTTTCTCTTCCAGCAAATAAGTCGCACATGTACGAACCATGGTTTCTCTTCCAGCAAACACGTCGCACATGTACGAACCATGGTTTCTCTTCCAGCAAACACGTCGCACATGTACGAACTATGGTTTCTCTTCCAGCAAACAAGTCGCACATGTACGAACCATGTTTTTTTTTCTACAGCAAAAAAACACAGAAATGATTGCTTCTTTCAGAGAGTGGTAGGTTATTTAACCTTTTACACACATTTGAGCCATGGTTGAATTATTTTTTTTATCTTTCTGAAGTAAAATCCTTTAAATTTAAACAAATCATTCCAAAGGAAATTTCTTGATACCAACTTAGCCTCTAGATAGGACTGATATTTAAGAAACATGTAAATATTCAGTTTCCTACAAGTTATTACAGCACCTGGTAAAAGGAAAGCTCCATTCTGTTTTGTTAATGCTACTTCAGCAGACACCAGAAGTCATATTATGACTCATAAAACAGATATAAAATTAAAAATATTCCCAAACAATATATCAAAAAAGAAATATAAAGAAGTTAGAAAGTTTGAAAATCAAAATAAATTCCAATTTGATACATGTTTTTACCTAATTATCTTATATTTTTTTAACTATGGCAAGTTACACCAGATCACCATTCTAAATATATCTGTGCATGTACTTTTGTTATTGCTTTTATTCTGACTTTGTTTTGTACATTTTAAAGAATTGTTTACATTTTTGATCCATCCAAAAACAGTTGTACCTACTTGTGTATGTTTAGAAGTTTGCCGATAATTTTGGATTTACATTTTTCATTCAACATTCAAACATTTTCAACTGTATAAGTTGATTCTGTATCATGTAGTCAAATATATACGATTGTTAACATTTTAATTTATAATTTATTTTTAAAATATTTTTTCCGTATATTTTTGAGCAGGTGAATTAGAATCTCAGGTGGTGTCAACCAACACTAGTGAGGTTATTACTAAACTCGCACCTTATACCAATTATAGTTTTTATGTTCGAGCGTATAGTGCACGAAGTGCTAGTGAGCAGTCGGAGATAATTTATCATACAACTGGAGAGGATGGTATGTTTAATATTGTCAGTTCTGTAAAAAAAAAAAGGAACTTCTTAATTAAATTGAAAATGTTTGCTAAGTAAATATGCACTTCACATTTTTATTTATGACTCTTAATTAACACTGTAGAACTGTTTAAATTGTATTTGCTTTCCTTGATATTGGCCTAAGATAGTTTTTATTTACAGTACATCTCAATGGATTAGTTGCCCAAGTTAGAATTATTATGTAACAGTATAAAATAAATAAAGGTCATAAATGCAAAATCTAATTACTACTGATCTTTATAAGAAAAAAAGGTTATTACAATAATCAAGTTGTGTTTAAGCTTAAAAAACAGAAACATTGGAATTTTTTAGCATTAAGATAAATGAATAATACAGAATTACATTTATTTAAGATTAACGGTGTGTCTTTTGTAAGCTCATTAGATGATAAACATTTTTTTTAAATTTTATATAAGTATTTTAATTATAAAGAAAACAACAGTCATGCCATTTTTAACAGCTAAAGGAAAGAATGAATTACAATAGCATCAGCTACCCTAGATCTATTTTTAAGTTACGGTGATTAATTAAGACAAACACAACTAGCATCACACATGTAAAGACATAAAACTTGGGTACAAGTTACAGAATGGGAATGAATGTGTCTTAGCAGGAGAAGTATCTGCACAAATCTTGTTTATCTGTATAGAGGTGGGGATATACTGTCTTTAAGGTTTAACAACTATTATACACCATTTGCTGCCAGTTGTAAGTATATATGAACTCTTAATGAAATGGAAGAGCAGTAAAATAATAGAAGAATTTACCAAACACAGATCATATGAAGAATAAGTAAAACTCGGGGATGTCAGATGGAAAAAATAAAAAAACTTTGAAATCCTGTGAAGTGGACTACAAGCACATAGCATGAGTAAATCTGGCTGGGGTTTTTGAGGGGCGCCATGAGCCCCCAAATAATTTGAAGATTAGGAGCTCTCAGAGCTATTCTGAACAAGTCTGGGGCACAAAATATGAATATTTTCAGGTGCACTGTATCCTGTGAAAAATCTACTGTTACCCCTAACTAAAAAGGTTATCTATTCTGGTTCGTCACCCATGAACAATAAATAGTTGATCATCGTATTTGCTAAGTTAGTAAATAACACTGTTATTGCCCACATGAAACCAGCCATTTTCAGCTTTCAGAATAGAAGTATTCCCTTTATGTCCAAAGATTTTCATCTCAAACATATTTTGTCCATTTAAATTACGACACGTGGCTAGAATAGCTCCATGAAGCTGTCAGAATGTGACTGATCAGCTCAATGATGAAATAAATTCAACGGTGTTTTCATCCAAGTTTCATACCTTATTTTAAGATAAATGGCTTGACATAAAAGAGGGTGGTCTATTGATTATGTTTTTGAAGTTGGATGGTGAATTATATAGGTGGATTACGGTGGATTGCTGTCTTCACACGGGTATGATGGTGGTGGTCGTAGCTATGCTGCACAGCATGTGCAGTGGAATGTTCTGTGTAGAGCAGCTAATCAGAGAGTCGCATTTCAGTTATATATCAGACCCTTTGTTTACAAAACATCATGAGCCTGTTAAACATTATGGTAGTGTACGCTAACCCCCCCATATTTTGGCACTGGCTTTACACAATTCACAGAAAATGACCCAGATGACAAATAAAAACTTGTAAATCTGTGAATCCTTAGAAAATTTACATTCCAGAAAATGTATCTCTTGAGATTGGTATTCCAACCATATAATGAGTACATATGTGTGGAAACAGCATAATAAAACCTAAAATTTCTATTACATTATATACTACTAAGTGGATTTCTTGTCATCAAATTTGAACTCGTGTCACTGAAAATGTTCAAGCTTGTTAAACATTATGTAATACTTTAATAAATGTGAAACTGTAATAGCCGTATGTAAATCTAACAGAATGCTACTAATATGTGAAGTAAGATTATAGATTTGTAAAATTGCCTTCGTGCTTATCAGAAATATCTACATAAATATACCATTTATGTGCTTTTTATATCTAAATATAAATAGTACGTTTCAGCATCAGATACTTTTTATCTCTTAATTCACCAGATTATGTACTGGTAATGTATTTACTGCTAATATGATTATTTAAACCAACCAGATCATCATTGTATCAACATACTATATATGTATATATGAACATAAAACTTGCAATGAATAAAGATTCTAAAATGTATGTTAATATACACCCACATTAGGTACAAATGTATGATTAGGTTTTGCATTTGTGTGTGTGTGTGTATGTATGTATGTAGTGTGACTTTTTCATTTTCAAGCTTCATGAATTTTGGTATTACTTTATAGAATATGAATTACAACCTAACACCAATCGGCAGCCACACTTCTTGTAAAAAGTGTTAGTAAGATTTTAGGACCTGTTTCATAGACAGTATACATATTTTCTCAGAGCCATTCCTTTGGGTTCATGTTATGGCTCTGGCCTGGTCATTATAGATTCTGGATGCTGTGTGTTTCATACCATTTGTGGATACATCATATAATATAGCATAGTGTATTATCATGCTACAGATCAAACCAATTAAAAACAGGCTCACAGTACACCATGAAATTACTCTTCCACTTTTCACATTAGGCATTGTATATTATTATGCTGAAAGTCAAAACTAGTTAAAAACAGTCCCACACCATGATATTACTCTTGCAAATCTTAAAATTAGCATAGTGTATTATCATGCTATAAATCAAAACCAAACATAAACAAGCCTACATGATATTTTTCTCACAATTCTTCACAGTTAGGATGACACTGTTGTATCTAAAGGGTTTTTCCAGATTTCTGTCAAACCTAAGATCATGTGTCAAAGCAAACACTGAATAGCAGGGCTTTTTACTCCACAAGATGGTTTTTCTTTCAGTGTTCAGCACTCCAGTTTCCATGCTCAAGGCTTCATAAAACTTATCTGTGAAAGCCAACACTACAAACCTCCCTGCATACACAGTAGTTATGCTAGTCTAAAGTTTGCACTCTCATTAAATTTCTAGGTAATGAAAAGTTACTGCCAGATTATGGTTTTTACTTCACAATACATTTAAAGTTCACATGGGCTGTTGGGTCATTTTGGACTACCAGGATGATATTCTATTTTAGAACTTATTGTGATCATACTTGTCTTCATATTTACTCCAACTTACAGTTTATTTGTAATAATGTAATTCTAAATAATACAAACACTTTATCATTATCAGTACTTTGATAACATGTGAGTGTTTACAACTCCCTAGAGTGACCACTTGTGTAATTTTCACTTTAACTGGTAACAGGAATATAGTATGCCAATTTATGGAAATATAAAAAGTGTACAGTCGATTAAAAGTTATATACAAGCTTTGCTCTTAAATAGAAGCTAATTAACTCACTGTTCTGGTTTTAGTTCCTATTGCTGCCCCTTCAATAACACTGACCAGCTTGAGCTCAACGACTCTTCGTGTATCGTTGGAACCTCTGCCTCCACATCAAGCAAGAGGAAAGATTGTAAGCTACCACATCAACTATCGTCGTCATAACCAAGCTTTGAACAATGTAATTGAAGTTGATGGAGATGTAACAGAATACACCATCACAGGTACGTCTGTAAATCATGACTGATGAGGTAATTCCTTTGACTAGAAGAAAATTCTACTAAGAGGTAAAAAAATTACATTTTTAACAGTACATTTACAATGTATCCTGAATTTTTTAAATTATTTAAGCTTTAGAAAATCATTTAGTTGCAGCTTTTTTTTTGTAAACTTCTGAAACTGTTTAAGCAACTGCTATGTACAATTATGTATAAGTAACAAGTGTTTTTATTTACTAAACTTAATAATGTGTTATGTATAGACTTAGATATACAGAAATAGTCTTTTTCAGAACTTTCTTGAAGACAGCAGCTGAAATTTAGGATAAGAGCTAGTTAGAATTAGAAAAATTTATATTCTTGATTAATAGTTAGACTTAGGTGATTATGTAGTAATAAACTTAATCAAACGTACTTCAACTTAAGTTTTGTTATTGCAAATTACGCTGCTAATAAAATCAATAGTTTTTGTCTTATTAACCTTGTGGGATAGTTTGGCTATCTCATTAAACTTCTTATAAACATAAGCTGTTTGAGTAGTATCTAGTATCTAATATTTGAAAACAAAATGGCTTAGGTTATTAATGACAGTGTATTAGATAATATTTCTGATAATATATACTTATTTACTTAATTTCTCTTACTCTATAAATTCAATAAGTTTGAACCAATGAAAGAAATTAATCTGTTTGTTAAACTCAAGATGGAATTTATCTGATATAATGAATCAGGACTTGAATTTAGCATGCCTGCTTTGCTCCAATTTGTGGGGTCAGAACTGAGTTAATAGGATCCAAGTCCCCCCCAATTAACTCTCATAATGACTATCACAGAGTGACAACTCCTTGAACAGAGATATGATTTGTTTTTATGACCTCATAAAAAAACTAATAAAGCGGAATACTATTATTTCTATAACTTTGCATCTTATTTTTATATGCATTTATGGAGCATATTTTTGTACTATGCAAAAGAATATCATAATTATTTCTTTTAATCAGGTCTTCAACCAAAACAGAAGTATGATGTTCTAGTATTGGCTGGTACTGTAATTGGTTTTCCTGGTCTTACTGACCAGAACTGGCCTTGGGTTACTCAGGAAATGCCTGATGGTACTACTACAAAAGGTAAATCCAAGAATATTTTATTTTTTTGTAGATTATGGTAATTTTGTTCTAAATTTTATTGTAAGTGACAAAAGTTTTCATATTTCAATCACTATCTTTAGCTAATGATAAAATTAAAGAGAGTTGCTTTAATAAAATCAATTTTGAGGAAATGGAAATAATCTGGTAAACTATGTCATAAGAAGAGCTTTTCTTTTTTTTTTAAATTGGATTACTACATTTGTTGGAGTGCAATACAGTACTTATGTTTCTTTTAATTTTCTTCCTTAGTCCCATTGCCTCCAACTTTTCACTTGACTGTAATTAATGCTTCAACTATAGAAGTAAAATGGCAAATGGCAAAGGATCTGAGATATCCAGTTGAGGGATACCATCTTTCATATAGAGAACAAGGACATCCATTGCAAGACACCATCACACTTGAAAAACATGTGAACAAATTCCTTCTTACAAATCTTGGTATGCAATATCCCTTTCACATATTTTGTTACAGTTTTTTTCTATATTTTGAAAGGATTGCTTTAAAAAAATTATAATATAAAAAAAAATACAAATTGGAACACTCATAGTGTTTTGATTTTTACATCAGTTAGGTAAGTAGAGATAAAAATATAACTTTTATTCAACATTTCAAGAAACAATGGTTCTCTTTTCTTTTTATTCAAGGGATTGCTGAGTTGTATAAGAACTTATTCAAGTTCTTGTACAATCTATTATTTGCTTCTTCCCTGTAAAAAGTATAGTAGTTTAAAAAATAAAAATATGGTGTAAAATTAAATTTTAATTTAGGGATTTCTTTATAGTATTTCACCCTATATGGTTTTGTATCTTAGTTGCTTTTTTTATTATATGTTTTGTAATAATATTTGGGTGACTATTCAACGGATTAGCTTCCAAAGAGTTTGAGGAACATTGTTTCAACATCTTAACATATGTCTTCGTTAAACATTTTTCAGAGTATGATAAAAGCAGACATAAATGTACAAAAATTTTATATTTTGAACACTTCATGACAAGTTATCCATTGAAATACAATTTTTAGTTTGATGTACTAAGGATTTTCAAGATCATAGTAAATAAAAAGTATTTTTACTGTTAGGAATACTTTAGTAAACTATTTATTACCAACTGATCCAATTTTTCTGAATAATTTCTATCCTTCCAAACTAGATCCCCATACGTGGTATGAAGTACATCTTTCAGGGTTTAATGGGTATGGTGATGGCCTTGAAGCCGTCCGAAACATCCTAACTTTACCTGAAGATCATCCTGATTTTGAGACTATTGAAAGTATGTAATCAGCAATATTATTAATGAATAAGTAAAAACAGGTACTAAACTTCTATAACTTAACCCTTAAATTACTGACTTGTTTTTATACTGTTCACCACCTTTTTTCATTACATTGAATAATTTTATTGCAACAGTAATCAGGAATAATTGGGTGAAATCGCTCGTTTTGCCCAATTTTAAAGTTTTTTTTTATGTGATTCTCTTATGTTATTAAGATTTCTGTATATTCATGGATTCATGAGAAGTTTGGGGCATAAATAATTTAAAAAAATGTGTTTAAAATGGCAATAGTCTGTATGGACTCTATCAATAATTTTAGGGTTAATTTATTGTGACAGATGTACTATGTTTTCATGAGTGCTCAGAAGTTTTTAACTCCTTCCATGTCAGGCTTTTTTTTTTGGAAATAAACTAAAAAAGTCAGGTTTTTTTATTTTACTTTTTGATAGCATATATTTATATATTAATGAAACAAAGGTACTTTTATAAGGTGTTTTTGTATTTTTGCACAAACTATGTGTGATAAATAAAGGTTG